CTACTTACTTCTCTTTTCAAGTACATGAGTGTGGGTTCGATTCTCGTACAACTTTATGATGATAAACGTCGTGAATTTCCTAACATGCATCAGTAGTTAAACTATAACAATTGTAATCCCAACTATCCTTGTATAGTTATATATGTAGGGTTGTTTTAAAGTTATATTAATTTCAACATCATTTTATAATATTATCTCTTTTTGTACATGTGAAGAGTGAACATCTATACTTATGATTATGTAATAGAATATTTAACTGGACTGAGATTTTTTCTCATTCTGCAGTTTTTTTCATAAAAAATCATAATGTCTCCTCTCTTGATTTTTTTTTTTATTTGTGCTCGAATTTTCTTGGAATGCTAAGACATTAAATTATTACTATACCGTCATGAATTTTCTAGCATGCATAACATTAAATAAATACACTCAACAAAATATCTCAAACCTACGTTAAATCAAACATAAAGGAAATAAAACCAACCACTATATTCTAGCATAAAATGATAAAACTACTCTACACCAATTTCTTATTTTTCAAGTACTCAAAAAAAAAAAAAATTTGAATCAAGGTTAAAGTTTTTGTATAAAAAAGAAATTTTACTTAAAATATAATAATTGTAAGAAAATAAAGTATTTATTAAAATATTTTCCTAGAGATGATTCATTTTATTTTATTTTATGTTAATATCATAAGTTAGTTGTTATTTTTTGCATTTATAGGAAACGTTATTTTATTAATATAAAAAAAGTTAATAACATTCATAAAAAAAAAAAAAAAAAAAAAAAAAAAAAAATTAATTGTCAGATATTAATGAACTAGTTTTATCAAGTCACTGTATCAATTTCATATAAGACACTTGAGTTATAATTTTTTTGAGTGACCTAATTGACCTCAAAGTGTAAAAGACTAAATTAACCTTATTTCACAAAAAAGAATTGAGCCAAACCCTCCCCTTGTGCAATCTTTGCCTCTATCTCTCTCCAATCGAAAAATTTTGTGATCTTATCCCAACCGCTCCCACCTTTTTAATCATGTTGACCACTCATTCAACTTCATGTGCTCTATGTTTCCTTTCCTCAACACCTTAGGTCGTTATTTAAGAATGATCGGGGCAAGGAGCATCAATGCTCCCTCTCTTTTAAAATCGACAAAGAAGCTCTAGTCGTAGCCCTTCTTTTTAAGAATATTTCACTTTAAATAAAATTGTTGGATCCTAATTTATCCTTTGTGGATCAAATAGTTAAATCAAAGTGAAGGAGAGAAAAGAAAAATATAGTAGAGTAAGTGTGGAGTCTTTATTCGTATCTTTATCCCGTACTTATAGAGACGTGTTACACGACGAAAGAAATGGTTATAAAAATTATTCTTAATGTTATTAAGGTTCTAATTTATTGTATTTTATTTTATTTATTTTATATCATATTTATATTACGATAGTCGGAATGTGATCCGCTTGTTTTTTTTTTTTTTTTGTAGTGAGTTATGACTCATTTTACTTTCGGCAAGAGACTTACTGAGCTCATGTCTCGCCTGCCTGGTTGGTTCATCGTCTCGGTCAGATCTCGTAAACTTGCAAGGTCTCAAGCGGATATTTTCACAACCTACATGGAGTATCTGATGAGACTCGCTACTGGGATAATTCATGCCTCACTTTTGACGGGTTTTGCTGCTATCGAGCGGGGAACCATCTCAGGGGCTTGAACCTATCCAGATTTTAGAGACGCAACTTCATGCTCAACCTGAAATTGTTGGTTGATTTCTTACCTCGAAAGGAGATCCTTTCATCTTGGTCATTCGTTCTCTTTGAGATTTGCACTGATATTTTTGGTACATACATAGCAGTTCCCCGAGTTTTCCTGTTCCTTGATAGCAACAATTACAATAAGAATAACAAAATTATTAAATAATTGTTAGCAATAAATTTGGGAATTGATTGAACACATGACTATCATTAGGATTCTGTGCCCTGGGTGCTCTATAAATAGATATGAAATGAGTCTTGTATAATTTGTCGTCAAATTCTCTTTTTACAACTGAAGTGTGTTACCACTGATAAATCAAATCGGATTATCGTGGACCCTAAGAGGCTCGCGAGGGTAGGGTTTCAAATTCCCTCTTCTGTAACAAGAAGAAGGTGATGATGAAGGAAAAATGGGTGAGGTTCGAATTTGACCTGGTGTATGTAGTTAACTCATATGATAATGTCGAAGGTCAGTCGCTGGCGAGGCATCACTAAGGGGGTTGCCATACTGGTTTGAGTGTGTGTGTTGAGGGCTAGCTAACCCTTCTGATTGAGGCAAGTGTTAAGGAGCTGGGGGAGTGGTTGGCAGTGTTGCAGGGAGATACTCTGTTATTGCAAGTGTTGCATCTGGTGACCACACAACAATTCTTACATTAATTTTAGTTATGAGAATGCTCTATTTCCCACAAACGATGCTAAACTGGTGTATGCTGGAAAATTTGCAGCAGTAGAGAAATGAATTTTTGTCTAAACGTTGCACGAGAATTCAACACACACTCAGACAAAAGAAAACAGCCAGTAGTGACACCAAAAGTTTTTATAGAAACTTCGTAAAGGGAAAAAACTACAGGGCCTAGCCCAGCTGAGAAATCCATTATAAACTGGATATTACATTTACATTCCTATGTCTCCCGAACGGGAAATGTTTAAACACTATCAGAGTTACAACGTCGGCGCACAAATAAACTTGTCGTAAGAAGTGCGCGGCGGCCGATGGAGAACGGGGAGGCTGGCAAGTGACGATCAACGGTAGTTAACGAAGATCGACAATGATCTATAGTAGTTGGCAATAATCGACGGTGACTGGAGTGATGCTTGACTTCAGCTTCTCAAAACTTCAAACTTTTCTTCAGCCTTCCAATTCCTTTTTTTATGAGAGGGGTGAGGCTCTATTTATAGTGTTATGGGTGCAATTAATTCAGAAATATGAATCACTTTGATCCGACGGTCCAGAGAGCTTCATTCGATTAGACGATATTTGATGGACATTTGAGCACATCAACGATGTCGGAATTTAGCAATCTTAGGCTCATTGAATTCTTTATGTTGAAACGCTCGATTCAACTATAGGCTTGCTAGATTCAACATTCGTTTGACCTTTTAAATATGTCCTTAGAAATTTCAAAAATAATTTAATAACTTGATATGAACTTGATTTGGCTCAGATTGAACTAATTTTAATATCATTGAGTCAGTCAGCCAATCAATTTTTCTATAATTTTGTCAAAATCAAATGTCTGGATGACTTTTAATCAAGATTTGAATATTTCTTGTTCAAAAATTGTCTTGAGGTCCATGTCATAACTCGAGATCCGTGTTACGCTTCGCGATTCATGCTGGATGATAGAATTTGTTGATGGCGTGTCAAATATAGATAACTCTCCTCTTGATTTAGAGAAGATTAAATTAGAATATCATTATATAATGATTATAATAAATGTAACTGATCACAAAGGCCACAATTAATTACTATGAATTGCTATGATGATAGCAATCGACTACATATGATCACGAAGAAGCAATTGGCAAACTACGTCAAAACTACACCAAAACAAATGATCACAAAAAAGCAACCAGCAAATAATAAATGCAATTCACAAAAGCCACGATTAATTACTATGAATTGCTATGATGATAGCAATCGACTACATATGATCACGAAGAAGCAATTGACAAACTACGCCAAAACTACACCAAAACATATGATCACAAAGAAGCAACCAGCAAATAATAAATGCAATTCATTTCCGAAGAAGCAATCGGCAAATTAAGCCAAAACATATATATGATCACGCAACACTATGAGCCAAAGTTAACAGTGAAAAACTTTAAAAACAATACTAATGAGTAACGAGGATTTTATATGAAATTACGATCCATATGAGTGCGTGTTAATAATTAGCCTGAACATTCTCTTCATAAATAGCGCGATTAAAATTAATTAAATAAACAAAATAAATAGAGCAATGATATTCTGACTTACCATTTCAAAATATTGTTATATCCATTGAGCAATATTCAATGCCAAGATTTAACTCTCCATATTCTCATAACTTTTTTTTATATACTTAACACATGCATGATCCAATCACAATGCACTTTGAATTCATGAATGTCCCTTAATTCAAAAATAAGCATTTAATGCTATTGAAAATCAAGTGTATACATTACATATATAAGTAATAGCGACAAAAATCTTGGTCACAAAATTGATAATTTAGGAGTGAGCATTCAGTTTGGATGGATCATATTTAAAATTGGTCAAACTGATTGCAACTAAAATTTAGAAATTGGGAAAAAACATCAATCTAAATTTTGATCAAATCGAACTGACAAGATCAAAATTAAATTTTATTTAAACGGTTCTGTTATGAGCAACCCAAAATTTAATTATATATTGGTGTTTGGCTAAGAATAAACATTATGACTTATATATTTTATGTACTTGATATAAATTTTATTTTATGAAATATCGATTTATTTTAATCAAATATTGATATATAAAAAATATTCTTTTAAATTTATTCAAAATGAAATTAAAAGTTAATAAAACTCCAATTTTTCGTTTTAAGTGGTTAAATGAAAACTAAAAACAAACCAATAATAGAAAAACTGGATATTAAAGTTTTAAAAACTAAAAATTAAAATCATTTTTGAGATCGAACCAAACCGAACTAACCAAATTTCAATTATTCATATTAAAAGTTTATTGTAAATATATAAAATATTATCCTTATTACTATAATTACATTATGCCTATTAATATTCCAGAATCTGGCATTTCGAATCTTAGAAAAAACGCAATCTGAGACCTCCAAATGGCGGTTTGCATCCTCTCATTAGCCACCGGAAGGTCAAAAGTGCAAATTAATTACACACTAAAAAAAATTAATGGTTCATAATCTCTGTATCATAAGCTGTAACATTAAATGCAGGCTACGTTGGTGCACGAGTCCTGATATATGTGGCCTTCTTTCTCCTCATCAGAAAGAGGAAAACAAGATGGCGCCTTTCATTGTTTCCCTCCATTGCAAGCGGGTAGAAGCAGAAAATGGCCGTCGGGTTTTCCTTTTCAAGTAAATCACACTTTTTTTAACTCCCACTTATCGTCGCATCAAAGCGATTAATTTACAGTAATGATTCTCCTTCTAAATTCTATTTCTTTCTCCTTCATTCATTCAGATTTCAGATTGAGCAATGGCAAGAGGATTTGAAGTTTTCATTCCTCTTACATGCAGTGCTCTTTTGCTTATGCTGCTCTTGTTCTTCACAGGTTCATTTTCTTTTGAAGTTGATAGGTTCTCATGCATTTATTTATTTATTTATTTTTATGTTTAACAAAGATGGGATTTTGTTCTGCTCTGCCGGGAGCAAATTTTATGAAGAAATTGAGTATTGGTGCTGAAGATTGTTACTAGTTCTCTGAAATTAGTAATTTTTTTTTGCTTGGAATTATGTGAATAAATTACTTTGTTTGCTTCCGTAACATTAATTTCGTGGTACTTCACTTGAGCTAATTCTGACTTTACCTCCTCTGTTTATGAACTTTCTAATGCAGGTAAAGCTCAAAACTCCCGAGACAAGCAGGTAAATGCTCTTTATAAACCATATTAAAGTAGCTCACGAAAACTGTTTCTTTTGATAAACAACAACAAAACACTTAGCAATGTAAACTTGTAAAAAATATTTGCCGGGATTCAGCATAATTAAGTACTGAGACAGAAGTTATATATGAGAAATTGCTAAAAATAATTTTTTGAGTTTAAAAAGAACATTTTTAATGAAAAAATTATAAGAAATTCTCTATAAAATATGTATGGGAGAAATACCGACATTATAATTGGTATGATTACATGTCTAACATATTGAAATTCTTTCAGCAAACTTGGTGCGTGGCGAAACCTTCTAATGAAGATGCTACTTTGAACGGGAACATCAACTACGCTTGCTCGCAGGTGGATTGCAGAATTTTACAGATGGATTGCGCTTACCCGGACAAGCTCATCTCCCATGCTTCCATAGCAATGAACCTCTACTACCAAGCGATGGGTAGGAACTACTGGAACTGCTACTTCAACAACTCTGGATTAATAGTCATTACAGATCCAAGTATGAAAATTAATCAATTTTTGAACTACAAATTCAAAACAAAAGCTCCTTCTGATGTGTTCTTCTTTGTTTCTTCATGCAGGTTTTGATCATTGTTCTTATGCCTGGCTTTTGATTAAGTATACTAGTGCTGCAGTGAAAAAAGCCTCTGTTTTAGCAGTATGTGGTGTTATGAAAGTATATTCCTAAGTTTTGTATTATATCAATGAAGAAACTATGGTTTGACTACAGCAATTTTAGAAGGCTTTGTGTTTGTGAAAGTGTATTTGCTTAAGAAATTGCTGGATCAGACTTGCTTGAACACGTGTAATGATAACTTTTTGGATCAGACTTGCTTGAACATGTGTAATGATGTGGTTTGTTTTAACTTTAAAGTATTTGTCTCATGATATTAACTGGTCTCTCGCCCGAAAAATAGAAACGCTTGCTCAACTCGTAGCATTTAAGAAGAATATATATTGAATGAGGTATATTTTTTATATAATTACTATACTTTCTAACTTGGAAAAATCGAAGAACCTCTCTAGGCTCATGATGAATAAGCCCTCAAAAATTTCTAAGCCATGATGATCAGAATCCAATTTTTATGATTTAATTATGTGGTGTTTAATTAATTTAAAATTAAATTAAAATTAATTATTTTCAATTTTATTTTCACTGGATTCCTCTTTGTTTATTGAGCATAGGGGCATGTGCATTTTTATTTAATTTTTCTAAGTCTTCTACCCCAAGACATGATCTTAGAAGTTTTTGTATTTAATTAAATCCAAAAATGCCCTACTTTTCTACTCAATCACGTCGACGCTGTGTCATTCCTCGGCAACTCTGAAGTCAACACATCACTCCACCATTTGTTGTGCCTTCATCGTCAGCACGTCTTACCACCAGAACGCTCAAACTTACATCAGACTGATGATTCATATGTGGCATTTAAATGTCCCCAATTAATATAAGGAGTGTTTGAGAGTAAAGTTCAAGATCAAATCCCTAAGCATTGGGTATTATTATACGATAAGTTATGACGAGTACTTTCATTAGTATGTTTTAATTTAAAGGGCACTGGATCATATCTTGGTGGATCCCTAATATTTTTTAGGATGATTTTATTCAATAAGTCATAATAATTCCAAATATTCTGTGAAATATCCAAAATCTTGCAAGGGTGTTTGGAGACCGACTCTGGACTACCTTGGAAAACCTTGCAAGGGTATCTGGAGACCGACTCTGGACAACCTTAGAATCTCTTGGATCATTCCAAGTTTATTTGGTTTTACTATATTGTTAATTTAATCATCCCGAATTGAATTAAAATTTCATTGTGATGTTTGAAATTGTGCTCAATTTTCTGTGCTCCAATTAACCCATGAATAAAGGCAGATGAATTATTTCAATATCTAATTAAGAGTTATGTGGGTGAACTCCTCCATGGGTCTGCTTATGATGCTTAAGAAAATCTACACTCTTGCCCATCAATTGGGTTTGAGCTTGTAGTGTTCCAAATGTTTTAAGTCCACTTATGATCCTTGTATTTTGTTCTTTATCTAACCCTCATGTGATATTAGATCAAACCTAATTCACTTCTAAGTTCTTAGGGTTTAGGGGTAAACTTGTAATTTTTGAAAAGTTTTAGTAGATTATGCTTGTTCCTTATTGAATGGATTGAATTTTGTTCGGTCACTAATTGGGGTTTAATTTAATGAATTATACCCTTTCTAATTCAAACACCTCATTGTAGAATCATCTAAACATTCATTTCCTCCAATTCACAATAAATCCAATAATTACAATTTTATCTTTTTGTAGAAATTATTATGAACTAGTTGCTACCCAATTAGATTTCAATATTTTCAGAAAATTAATAATCAAAATTTAATATCCTTCTCACTGGTTTAGTCCTAAAAAATTAGGGTTTGAGTGTAAATTCCAAAATTACAATTTTGCCCCTAGGGTTTACACCCCCTAACTCTTATATTTTAATGCAAATGACCATGAAACTTCATTTGCCCCCTATTCATAGATTAATTGAAATATTAGGGGAGAATTTAAATTTTTTTGTATTTTATTTATTTATTATAATTATTTAATTATTAGTTATTAATTCCCAAAGATAATTAATTTGATTTTCAAAATATGTTCTCTATCCTTATAAAAATTTTAAAATGTTGCCCTAAATGATGATCAATCAGGGTAATTTTCATGAATTTTTGAAATATAATTTAATTATTATAATTTTTAAAATTATTTTATTATTAAAATAAATGGGATGATTCGCGGATCTTATCGCAACTCACGCGGGGTATCTAACGATACTCACTCCTGGGATGATTCACGCATCACTTTCGGTAGTTATTGCCGCTACTGAGCAGGGTACCACATACAGAGCTTGAACATATCCTGACTTTGGAGATGCGGCTTCGTGCTTATGCTTGAATCGTCGGTTGCTTCCTTACCTCGAAAGGAGAACTTTCATCTTAGCTGTTCATTCTCTTTTTGATTCATGTTGTTATTCTTGGTATATATAATAATAATTGTACATCAATAAAATATTTATTCAAGTATTTCCAGAGGGATGGATCATTCTATTTTATTTAATGTCAATGTCATATATATTCTTTTATTTTTTTATTGAAAATGGTATTTAATAAATATAAAAAGGATAATAAAGGACCTGAATCTAAAGAAGAAAGTCGATGAGCTCCAAGCTCTTGAGGGTTCCTGAGCTCCTCCACCGCCGGACCATTGCAGTTGAGCGGCCACCATCTTCGAACCATCGGTGCCCGGTCATTGTCCCCGCCTCAAGACCACAGCTGCCCGGCTACCACCGTTCTAACCACAGTTTCCTGACAAGCAAGCACTGTCACTGATGCTGAACTATAGTTGTCGGGTCTATGCCTCTGTCAAACCATTGTCGTTGGGCTATTGCCGCCACAAAACCATCACTTCCTCAGTCACCACCATCACCACAACTAGACCACCTCCATTGTGCTATCGATACCGACGACACTGTCATCAGTTTTTCTGGCACATGATCAACTGAGTCGCCACTACCTCCCCAACATATTATGACACTCATTTAATGGAAGTCACATCGATAACTCTCATTTGTTTAATATTGGTTCAGGTTATTCAAAAGTCAGTTAAATTTTGTAATCCGTTGAATCACTTTGACTAAGTTATATCCCATGTTTTTACCCTTTCAAAATTTTCATCTAAAAACACATGCTGCCTCATTTATCATCTATTCTTTAATCGTTGTGTGCTGAATTTTCGTATCACTAAGATGTTAATAATCACTCTATTATTGTTATTTTACCAACTAAGAACAAGCTTAATTCCTCAGCCATGTCATTTGATTAGGTCTGGATTGATTAAAATTATAAATCCTTTTTGCCAATTTGATTTGACTCATATTTAGTAATATCTACGTAGTAAACACCTTCAATATTAATGTATCCCATGTGAGGAGTCTATGAATTATTATTATTATGAGTGCAAGTTACATAAAATGTAAACATAGCAATATTGTATGCAAGAGAAATCTCATCCACACAAAAAAGGTCATAGCTCAACAAGAATATCTAACACACATTTAAATGAAAGTGATTAGAGACAATAAGATTTTTAAGTGGAAAAATCAAAAAGGGAAAAAATATGTGGTCAAATACGATCAAAATATTTCATGATATAATTGAAGCTACATAAATTCACCTTTTTTTCTGAATTAGAAAAGAAAGGATTATAAAATTATGAATACATGTTTGCTCTTCTATTAATAGTGGTTGTCGGATAATAACATCAATTAAATGATAATGGTTGAGTCACAATAGCTTGAAGCTACAATAGTGGTGGTGCTGGTCAAAGATTACTAGTGTGTGTTAGCTTTCAACTCTTTTTGTAATTTGAAAGTTTGCTCTTAGCTCTTCCCAGTGCCCTTCATATGATGAATGATGGTCTATTTATAATTTCTTAATTGTTATATATTAGTAAATTTAACCATGTTTTTAAAATACTTCTTTAGACGTCTTATGTTGATTCCGTTTATTATAAATTATTATTTTAGCATTTAACTGAATGAATGATCTTAGAATTGAGTGTTCTTAAGCTCATGAAATTTCTCTCATTGAATCGTTCAAGTCAACTATAAGCATATCAAATAATGATGTTTTAACCTTACAATTAATGCTTTGAATTTAACCATTATACTTCAAGTGCTCGATCTTTCTTCATTTTGTTTCTATTCTAGTCATTTCAAATCTTGTTGGATTTGTATTGTGGAGAACCTTATGTTGAGTTTAACTTTATTGAAATTGGAGCTCGGATAATTTTGAATTACTTAGAAAATTATCTCATCCAATTGATCGCATGAAATTTTTTATGCCACATCAAACATAATATATGTTTTTAACATATCACATCAATTTGTTGAAGAATCTATCATCCTTGATTGTAAATAGAGCTGTTTTTTTTTTTTTTGTTTTGTTTTTTGAAGATTTTTTTCAGTAGAATCTGTTAAAACTTTATTAATATACTTAGAATGATAAAGTCATCATTTCACTGTGCGATTGTTTTATTTATTTAGTTTTCTGCCATTTACATTCATACCACATAATTCTTATGAATTACGTAAAATGGATGTTTTTTTTTTCTTTTTTCTGGTACCTGCAGCTCATTGGGAAATGTTCAGCACTAATCTTTTTTAATTATAGAAATATAAATGGGCAGTATTGAAAGGTGCTCTCGATCGTACGGCCAAAACAAATTTCGGTGATATCGGGGCGAGTGGCTAAGATTGTGATCACCGGCTGGAGGCGTTTCTGCATTGCTTCTAAGCAACACGTCCGGTTGTGTGCCCGTCATGACTTGATGGTTGGCGATGGTTGGCCCTGAACTGGTTGACGCAAAACTATATGTGCTGATTTAATGGATAGACTTATTCTTAGTTCATTGAGATGTTGTGTGTCATAAGATTAGATATAGTAATAATTTAATGTTTCAATATTCTAAGAAAATTTAGCATGCATGTAAATAATGAAAAAAGAAGTAGGGGTAGGCATCAGTGTTTCTTACGTAGAAAACCCTGCAATGGAAAAATCGCAGTGTCCAACCTGCTTAAAATAGCCAAATATTTGATTGTAGGTATATAGGTTCACTTTTCTCCTTAATTAAAGAAAATAAAATTATAAAGTTGATAATCATAGTTGTACAACAACAGTTCAACAATAATAGCCGCAATTAGGCTGCAATTCTTGACGATAATAACAATAGCAGGCTGCTGAGAAAGTTGTTGATTGCCACAACGGGAGTAGTCAGCCACAAG